AGTATGCTTGAATTCTTGGGAAGCAACGAGCTGATGGTGTTGAACGGTAGGAGGGAAAGCGATAAGCCAGAGTTCACCAGGCAGAGGGCAGTTTGCAATGAATACTCGATCCTCGACTACATCCTGGTAGATAGGGGGAGCACACAGGTCCCGGAGCTGCACGTAAGTGCGATAGATATAGGTTCGACCGACCATTTCCTCATATGGGCAAACATCGACCGATCCAGAAAGACGGAGAGTAAGAAAAAGAGGAAAGTGTTCCGGTGGAAAGTAGAGCGTTTGGGAGACGAGGGGACACGCGATGAATTCCAGAAGGGATTGGCTGGTAGTGTAGAACCCTTCAGGAAACTGCTGAGAAGCGTCGAAGACGGAAAGGTAGACGTACAAGCAGCAGGGGACAGGGTGATTGAAGGATGGGAGTCCATAGTGAACACAACGGCAGAGAGAGTAGTGGGAAAGAAGGTGGTACGATGTGGGGTATCGGTTAAGTGGTGGGATGACGAGCCGAAAGAAGAAATAGGGGAACGTAGAGAAGTCTTTAAGCAGTACCTGGGTGAGGGGTCTGAAGAGAGTTGGGAAAAGTACAGGGCCAAGAGGAAACAGGTGAAGGGACTAGTGAAAAAGAAGAAAAAGAGCATTTGGGACGAAGTAGTGCAGAAGGCCAACGGAGGCCTGGAGGGGAACGTCAAGCAGATGTGGGAAGGGATTAGTGGGATGGTCAAAAATACCGCGCAAGGGGGGGATACAGGGGTAGCAACATTGCGAAGTGTGAACGGTGGACTAGTCAGCAGTGGGAAGGGAAAAAGGGAAGTTCTAGCAGGACACTACAAGAGACTTGGAGTGCCTTCGGAGAATGAAGATTTTGACCAAGTGTTTAAGAAGGAGGTGGACGCATGGGCCCAGAAAGAAGAAGAGACATCGAAGGCAGACGTTGGGAACGTAGAACTAGAAAAGGAGTTCACTGAGGACGAGGTTGAGGCGTGTGTGAACAAGCTGCAGTGCCACAAAGCAG